GGTGTAACATTGGTTTTGCTTTGTTTCACAGAACTAATCGTTGCCTGGGTTGCGTACGTATATGTGGGGCGGAGCTATCAAAATAGGGGCAAGATCCTTTTGGGGTAGGGCCGTGTTTGTTTTGGTGATTTAAAATATCAACATTGGCTACCAGAAATCACTTACTCTGCCTTTAATAGTACAATTTACTATTTACTCGATCTTATGTGCCAGCATATGGGCTCTGCTCCATAACCTAGTGAGTAGGGCTGGGAGATATGGGCAAAAGTATGACCACAATATTGTTTTCCATATTAGACAATATTAATATTTAACACAATATTTATTTACCATTGTTAATGTTTGTTAGACCTCGAGAATGAATTTGAACAAAGCTTGATTTTTCACAATTAAACTCCACATAGTAAGCTACCTTTTAATATAAGGCCATTATATTATACATAATCCATTTTAATTTTCCTTAAATTCTGTTTTCCTTTTTATTTTTATTTTTATGATTTCTGTGTTTTATAATTTAATACAGATTTAATATCAAAAATGGTGTCTAATAAAATCAATTAAAACTAACAATTTAATCAATCTTTTAAAATGTAAATCAAATGAAAATATAACAATTAATTTACAACAAGACATTGCATTTTTATTTTTTTGTCAAATAAGACAACAGAATGGTATAAATTAAAACAAGTATGAAAAAATATCTTGGTTGTATGACATTGCTAAAAATATTATTATTACTACTTTGAGAAATAATAATAATTTATTGCAATCTCAATGTGATATCATTTATTTAACACCCAGCCAACTTCATTTTAAAGGATCATAAAAGTGCTCCCAATGTAAAAGCTATACTAAAATGTTGGATTTTAATAATTCTGTCTCCTAAGATAACTAGTTTTAGCCAAATCCTTAAATTGCATTGCATGTATCCAAGGTGAATGCAATCCCATAATGTACTGCAACAAGCTCTGAGATTGTCTAACTATGCAGATCATTACAAATTACTCACTTATGGGACTTAGGATGCTAGCAGAAAAGGCAGATGCCTATGTAGACAATAAGCAGCTCACTAGGTTTGGAACAGAGTTATGATTACTGATCTCACCTTCCCCTGAGACACGACATTGGAACCTAGTAGATTGTCCTTCATTGGCAGAAGTGTTGCGTATTGGTGTTATGACGACAGGTGGTGACAGTGGTGCTCCAGTGTCAGGGGAAACAACTTCTGGAACTGAGGAGTAAAAGGCATAGCAAGCATAAGCAAATTATGTACCTATAATTCATTGTGAATTTTTTCATGTGTTTTTCTTTACCTTCCACATTAAGTGACGCAGAGCTTGTGGCTACTCCATAGTCATTCTTAGCTTCACAGTTGTACTGAGCTGCATCCTCTGGGAAGACTTCGATAAGTAGCAATGTGTGCTCATTTCCCTCCCTCAGGAACTTACACTTGAAGCCAGAAGACAGGGCCTGAGAGTTCTTATACCAAGATACCTGAGGCTGAGGAATTCCTTTCACTTCCACAGAGAAACGTGCAGGTTTGCCAGCCTCAACAGACAGGGGCTCCATGTGCCTGATGATCTGAGGAGGCTCAGGGACTGAACAATGCAATAATGTTGAATAAGAATAAATAATAGACATACAGAGACAAATAAACTAAGAAACATTATATTCCATATAAGACATCAACATAAAAGACTTTATAAAATACTTTTTATGCAAGTAGTTTAGCATGGTAGATATGTCTTTATAATGTCCATTAAATGCCTTTTAATTGCATTTGTCAGCAAATAAATAAAATGGAAAAGTAATGCCTCTTACCTATTTGGCAAAGTAACTCAGGAATTATAATGTATATTTCTTACTTTACTTTTTAGCTCTAATTATGTTATCTAATTACCCTCAATACTGCATGTATAAAAATGTATATCACTGTATGTCACTGCATAAACATTTTGACAGATTGCACTAAAAGAATCAAAAAGTTTTGAGACCAAACTCACTGTTAACAAGTAGGGTCACAACACTCCTGTTCTTTCCAGCAATGAATGTGTATTCTCCAGCATCGCTTCTGTATGTTTCTGTGATTGTCAGGCGATGAATTTTTCTAATAATGGCATAGTTGAAGCGCTGATCTACAGAAAACTGGATCTCGACTCCATTTCTTAGCCAGCGACCCTCAATGTCATCCTCATTGACTTCAAATTCAAATGTAGCTCGTTGTTTCTCAAGTACCTGGATTAAAATTGCAATAAAAAAAGCAATTGAATGCATTATTGATTGGCTGATCACTGCTTGTCAGTAAATAATATTTAAGACAGCTTGGTACTTACGGTGATTTCTTTCTCGGCAGGTTCACTGATACGCACATCCTTGCCCTCAACTGTGAGGGCAGCTTTCGATACACTAGATCCAGCAACCACAGAGTATTCACCAGCATCAGACATGCGTACAGTTTGGATCATAAGACGATGTAGGTGTCGCTCTGTGGACACTTTGTACCTAAACAGTGAAGATGATATCTCCATCAAGACACTGAACTTAATAGATGTCAAAGAGGAAAACTGTGAATGGATATGCAAAACCAACATCTGGAGTACCTTTCGGATATTTCAAGTTCCTGACCATCTTTCATCCATGTTACTTGGACATTGGGCTCAGAGAGTTCACATTCAAAAGTGGCCTTCTTCTTCTCAGTAACTTTAATGTCCTTGATGTGCTTGGTGAACTCGATGACACGAGCTTAAATTGATGATGACAAAACAACTTGATCAGAATGAACAGGATAAACCGAAAATAAAAAATATGAAAAACTTTATAACAAAAGCAAATATTACCTTCAACAAACAGCTTTGCTGCGGTTTCAGCAGATCCAGCCACAAATTTGTACTCTCCAACATCCCCAAAGTGAACATTTCGGATAGTGAGCGAGTGAGTGAACTGTTTGGTGCGAGTTTGGCATCTATCACTGGATCGGATTTCTACACCATTCTTCAGCCATTTGTAGGTGATGCCTTCATAGTTGACGGTCACCTCAAATGTGATGGTGTCCTTCTCTTGTGCATTCAGGTCTTTGAGCATAGATGTGATGAGGACAGCTGAAGGAGAGGGAAGAAACATTCATTGACTGAATTCTGAATTTTTGTTGCCATTTTAGCTTCTTTTGAATTATTAAATACATGTCTGGTGAGCACTTAAGCATTAGCAAATAACATGAAAAATAACTTACGGTTAACTGTCAGGGTGGCAGAGACTTTGTCATTTCCACATACAAAAGTGTATTCTGCAGAATCATCTCTGCTGGTATTCATGATCTTCAGCTGATGCAGTTTGCCCTGCACCACAATCCTGAACTTCTCACTCATCTCAATCTCAACTCCATTTTTCAGCCAGGTGGATGGAACATTGAAATGTGAAACTTCACATTCAAACGTGGCCACATGGGTCTCTGGAACCTCAATGTTCTTCAGGGGCTTTGTGACTCTCAAAGCTGAAATAGTCATTATATGGACTTAGCAGTGTATTTTAGACACTAGACAAGTTTTGGTAGGGGACATCTTTAAATTGATACTTACATTCAACATGTAAATATGCGCTGCATTGTAAATGTCCAACTACAGCTGTGTACTCTCCATCACTGCTTTCATCAACATTTTGAATGACCAGCTTATGTGCTTTTCTTTCAGACATTATTTGAACATTAGCACTAGGTTTCAGCTCTTGGTTTTTGAACATCCATTGAACAGGTATGTTATCATGGGATAAACTCAGCTCAAAAGAGGCAGTTCCATTGACCAGGGAAGTCACATCTTTCGGCTTTTTCACAATCTTAACAGCTGCAATAGAATGAATTTGCATATTAGAGTTTTTTTTTGTTTTTTAAAGGCAAATTGTCTTTGATTTTGGCAAATAATAAACTTACTTTCAACATTCAGTCTGGCATTAGCAGAGAGTTTTCCCAGTTTAAATCCATAGACTGATTCATCTTGGGAGTTGCAGTTCTTGATCTTTAAGGTGTGAACCAATCCATCTACTGTTATCTCATATTTGTCACTAGGGACAATTTCTATTCCATTCTTGATCCACTGGGATCCTTTCACATCTAAATGAGTCAGTTCAAGACTAAACACTGCCTCTTGGGTTTCGGTGACTGTTTGGTTCTTCAATGTTTTCTTGATCTTCACAGCTGTGGAAGACACATTTGCAATCAGTTGCACACAAAGGAAAAATATGTTCAGTATGGAAAAGGAATTCTGCCTTCAAAACATGGTAGTAAAAGTACCTTCAACCCTTAAGTTGGCAGATGTCTTGGAGTTTGCCACTTGGTAGGTGTACTCCCCAATATCTTGTGGTCTTGTGATAACAAAGACAAGTCGGCGGACTGCACCTATATCCTCACTTCTGACATTGTCACTAAAGTTAACAGAGTGGCCATCCTTAAGCCACTTTCCTTCAGAGGTGGGGTTGGCAACCTCACACTCCAGAACAGCAGTTTGGGATTCTGCTACAGTCACATCATGGAGTGGTCTGTTTATAGCTCCACCTAGTGTAAGAAAATCATAACCGTGAGGCAATATCTGTGCATCAACTTGACAGATATTTGACAAATGACAAAAATCATACCTGATACAGTTAGTTTTGCACTGGATGTCTTTTCGCCTGCTGCAAATGTATACTGGCCCTCTTCATCCTTCATAGCGTTGATGATGGTCAGGCTATAGTGCTTCCCTTTGGACTCAATTTTGTATTTGGGTCCAGCCTTGAGAGGCTGATTCTTGAAGGTCCAATAGGCATCTATACCAGTGTGGGATAATTCTACTTCAAAGGTGACATTCTGAGTTTCAGTGCACACACAGTCCTGCATGTGCTTGACGATGCTGACCTCTGTATGACATAAATATGTTCATTAATAATGGAAACCCATAAAACTTAACTTTAAGCAAACACTAAAAAAAGGTGTTATATTGGTTCAATAACAGAAATACTCACTCTCAATAGTAAGTTTACAAGCTGTTTCCACTCTGCCGACAACCATCTTATAGTGTCCTTCATCAGAAGCAAAGGACCTATTCAAAACTAGTCTCTGTTTGGTTCCTTTGGCAACCATCTGGATTCTCTCACTAGCCACAAGGAGCTTGTCATTTTGGTACCATTTCACAGAAGCAACATCAGAGGCAGAGATTTTAGCTTCTAGTACTGCCTTCGTACCCTCTATAGAACGGACATCCTTTAGAGGTGATATGATTTCAATTGCTGTAAAGAGGGAAGAAAAGACTAGTTACATTTCTGCATTCTCTTGCGGTATTTCAGTTTTTTAAAGTCTATGCATCAGCATCAAAAACCAACTTACTTTGGACAGTAAGTTTTCCGGTTGTAGAAATGTTTTGAATAGGAACAACAAATGAGTAGACTCCTGCATCATCCCTGTTGACATTTTCGACCAGAAGTTTGTGGACAAGTTTGTCAATGACAATGTGAATTCTGTCTGTGGCAGAGATGGGCTGGCCATTTTTCATCCATGTTCCCTCCACATTTTCCTGAGAGAATCGCACCTCCAGCTGGGCAATATCACCCTCACAAATTGTCAGATCAGAGAGGCCTTGCATCAGAGTTACAGGACGCACTGAAATAAAATAAAATTATACAGTTGTTTACATAAAATCTTTAATGAAGTTCCTAATTTACTGGAAAATACTCCAACACTACAAATTATATTCATAATATTATATAAATTATATTAAAATTCTACGTACATTTCATCTTCAGTGTGGCACTTGTCTTCAGATCACCCACTTTAAAAGTGTATTTGCCTTGGTCCTCCTTCCTAACGTCTTTTACAGACAGGGAGTGTCGGCCACGACGAGAGGATACAACATATTTAAGGCTTGGCGTAACTTCTTTATTCTCAAAGTACCAGGTGCCTTCGGCATCTACACGGGACAGCTCACATTCAAACTCTCCAGAGTATGTCTCAGGCACTTCAACGCTCTCCAGATTTTTAATAATTTCCAATGGTGCACCTGTAAAACAAATTAGATGTTTGACCAAAAATTCAAAGATGTAAATGTGAAATAAAAAAGCAACAGCTGAGTGTAAGCTAACCTTCAACATGAAGTTTGGCAGAAGTTCTTATGTGGTCATCATCAACTAAAGCACAAGTGTACTCTGCATCATCTTGCATGTCGATTATCAGCACAGATAGGAAGTGCACCTTTCTGTCAGAGTGCATCCTGTATTTGTCTCCGGAGAAAATTTCGGCATTGTTCTTCATCCATTTGACTTTGACAAATGGCTCATTTGTCTCACATTCAAAGGTTACCATTGTGTCTTTCTCTTTAGCATAGGCATCCTCCAGTGTCTGGGTAAAAGATATAAGCTGCTTGGCTGCAAAAACCCGAAGAGAATTTAATAGATAAAGTAACTCTGACATAAACAATGATCATAAGAGTAACACTGATATATAAATGACAATACATACCTTGCACCAACAAGAAAGCATGGCTTGAGGCCTCACCAGCAATGTTAATGGCTTTGACCATGATACTAGCAGAGTCCTCAGCTGAGACATCTCTGATTACTAATTCACAGACATGGTCCTCGGGCCAATACCAATAAATACGATCTGACTTCTCAAGTAAAATGCCATTTTTGAACCACTGGCACTCTGGATCTGGTTTACCAACAACCCTACAACGGAAGCGAACTTCATCAGACAGAGACACTGTCTGGCTCTGAATTCTTTCCAAGATCTTTGGAGCCTCCATGCTGGGAGAGAGTGTAATTTTCTCAGGTCTGATTGTAGGAATTTTAAGTTTGCCTTCCTCCTCCTCTTTCTTCTTTTCTGACTCAGACAACTCTTTGGTCCAGTGCATAAGTTCTTCTTTTCTCTTCTTTAGCATTCCTTCATAAGATTCATCCTTTCTGCGAGACTTCATCTCAACTGAAGATATGGCTTCATAATAGCCCTCTTCAGTCCTGCGTTTAAATTTGCTTCGCAGCTCTTCCAGCTCTTCAGTGGATTTTTCATGAACAACTCTCTCAGCCTTCCTCAGTCTGACAACTTCTTTTGCTTGTTTTGCTTGTGAGGGTTTATCTACCTTCACAACATCGAAAGATACTCTGCCAGGTTCAGGGCCAGATGCCTCTGGAGCCTTCTCAGGAGCACGGCGCAAAATTGACCGGAAGTCTTCCTTCTGTTGGATTTCAAGCTTGACAGTGTGCTCAGCTGTACCCTCTGGGTTCTCAGCCAATACTTTGACTTCTCCAGAATCATATGACTTACAGTCAGTGATTTCCATATAGTGAATGCCATCATAGTGTAGTCTGAATCGTTTGCTCTTTCGAATGAGCTGTCCATTTAGGTACCAGTTGACTTTGGGAGTAGGGTAACCAGTCACTCTACAACGGTATTTGGCTGTTTCACTCTCGAATACTTTTATGGGTTCTGGGAGCAAGACAATCTCTGGCTTGGTCTTCTCTGACATGTCATCTCCAGTTACTCCTGAGGGTGCGCCCTCATGGGCAATTCGCTCTATTTCATCCATTCTGTGCATTTTACCTTCTGGCAACTGACTATCCTCCACTAGACCCTTTTCGTCCTTCACAATTAGTGTAGCCGAGGTCTGGTCAGCACCAAATTTGTTGGTAGCTCTGCAAGTAATGATGCCACTATCTCTGGAATAAGCAACTTCATAATCAAGACTGCAATAGCCAAACTCATTGATCATACGCAGTCTGTTAGCAGCTTCCAGTGGCTTGCCATCATGCAGCCACTCAACAACCATAGTTGGGTCACCAATAGGGGTCAGTCTGCACTCAAAGTGCACAGGTCCAAATCGCTTCAGCCTGACTGAAGTAAGCTTCTTTTTAAAGTGTGGCTTCTGTTGCTTTTCCTTGTCATAGAGGTCACCCTCTTCCCACTGTTCCTGACCATAGCGAAGATGCAGTGGTTCAATTTCTGGTGGAGCAATGTCCTTTGCCTTATATGTTCCTTTGGGAATGATGAGTCTTCTTTCTGGTTCAGGTTCGGTGAACTCAACCTCTACATTGACTCTGCAGCGAGTGGTATCTCTGCCAGTTTTGTTAATGGCTGTGGCTGTGTACCACGCACTGTCAGAGCCAGCAGTCTGAGGAAACATTTTCCTGAGAGAATCGCACCTCCAGCTGGGCAATATCACCCTCACAAATTGTCAGATCAGAGAGGCCTTGCATCAGAGTTACAGGACGCACTGAAATAAAATAAAATTATACAGTTGTTTACATAAAATCTTTAATGAAGTTCCTAATTTACTGGAAAATACTCCAACACTACAAATTATATTCATAATATTATATAAATTATATTAAAATTCTACGTACATTTCATCTTCAGTGTGGCACTTGTCTTCAGATCACCCACTTTAAAAGTGTATTTGCCTTGGTCCTCCTTCCTAACGTCTTTTACAGACAGGGAGTGTCGGCCACGACGAGAGGATACAACATATTTAAGGCTTGGCGTAACTTCTTTATTCTCAAAGTACCAGGTGCCTTCGGCATCTACACGGGACAGCTCACATTCAAACTCTCCAGAGTATGTCTCAGGCACTTCAACGCTCTCCAGATTTTTAATAATTTCCAATGGTGCACCTGTAAAACAAATTAGATGTTTGACCAAAAATTCAAAGATGTAAATGTGAAATAAAAAAGCAACAGCTGAGTGTAAGCTAACCTTCAACATGAAGTTTGGCAGAAGTTCTTATGTGGTCATCATCAACTAAAGCACAAGTGTACTCTGCATCATCTTGCATGTCGATTATCAGCACAGATAGGAAGTGCACCTTTCTGTCAGAGTGCATCCTGTATTTGTCTCCGGAGAAAATTTCGGCATTGTTCTTCATCCATTTGACTTTGACAAATGGCTCATTTGTCTCACATTCAAAGGTTACCATTGTGTCTTTCTCTTTAGCATAGGCATCCTCCAGTGTCTGGGTAAAAGATATAAGCTGCTTGGCTGCAAAAACCCGAAGAGAATTTAATAGATAAAGTAACTCTGACATAAACAATGATCATAAGAGTAACACTGATATATAAATGACAATACATACCTTGCACCAACAAGAAAGCATGGCTTGAGGCCTCACCAGCAATGTTAATGGCTTTGACCATGATACTAGCAGAGTCCTCAGCTGAGACATCTCTGATTACTAATTCACAGACATGGTCCTCGGGCCAATACCAATAAATACGATCTGACTTCTCAAGTAAAATGCCATTTTTGAACCACTGGCACTCTGGATCTGGTTTACCAACAACCCTACAACGGAAGCGAACTTCATCAGACAGAGACACTGTCTGGCTCTGAATTCTTTCCAAGATCTTTGGAGCCTCCATGCTGGGAGAGAGTGTAATTTTCTCAGGTCTGATTGTAGGAATTTTAAGTTTGCCTTCCTCCTCCTCTTTCTTCTTTTCTGACTCAGACAACTCTTTGGTCCAGTGCATAAGTTCTTCTTTTCTCTTCTTTAGCATTCCTTCATAAGATTCATCCTTTCTGCGAGACTTCATCTCAACTGAAGATATGGCTTCATAATAGCCCTCTTCAGTCCTGCGTTTAAATTTGCTTCGCAGCTCTTCAGTCTCTTCTGTGGATTTTTCATGAACAACTCTCTCAGCCTTCCTCAGTCTGACAACTTCTTTTGCTTGTGAAGCCTCTGTGGGTTTATCTACCTTCACAACATCGAAAGATACTCTGCCAGGTTCAGGGCCAGATGCCTCTGGAGCCTTCTCAGGAGCACGGCGCAAAATTGACCGGAAGTCTTCCTTCTGTTGGATTTCAAGCTTGACAGTGTGCTCAGCTGTACCCTCTGGGTTCTCAGCCAATACTTTGACTTCTCCAGAATCATATGACTTACAGTCAGTGATTTCCATATAGTGAATGCCATCATAGTGTAGTCTGAATCGTTTGCTCTTTCGAATGAGCTGTCCATTTAGGTACCAGTTGACTTTGGGAGTAGGGTAACCAGTCACTCTACAACGGTATTTGGCTGTTTCACTCTCGAATACTTTTATGGGTTCTGGGAGCAAGACAATCTCTGGCTTGGTCTTCTCTGACATGTCATCTCCAGTTACTCCTGAGGGTGCGCCCTCATGGGCAATTCGCTCTATTTCATCCATTCTGTGCATTTTACCTTCTGGCAACTGACTATCCTCCACTAGACCCTTTTCGTCCTTCACAATTAGTGTAGCCGAGGTCTGGTCAGCACCAAATTTGTTGGTAGCTCTGCAAGTAATGATGCCACTATCTCTGGAATAAGCAACTTCATAATCAAGACTGCAATAGCCAAACTCATTGATCATACGCAGTCTGTTAGCAGCTTCCAGTGGCTTGCCATCATGCAGCCACTCAACAACCATAGTTGGGTCACCAATAGGGGTCAGTCTGCACTCAAAGTGCACAGGTCCAAATCGCTTCAGCCTGACTGAAGTAAGCTTCTTTTTAAAGTGTGGCTTCTGTTGCTTTTCCTTGTCATAGAGGTCACCCTCTTCCCACTGTTCCTGACCATAGCGAAGATGCAGTGGTTCAATTTCTGGTGGAGCAATGTCCTTTGCCTTATATGTTCCTTTGGGAATGATGAGTCTTCTTTCTGGTTCAGGTTCGGTGAACTCAACCTCTACATTGACTCTGCAGCGAGTGGTATCTCTGCCAGTTTTGTTAATGGCTGTGGCTGTGTACCACGCACTGTCAGAGCCAGCAGTCTGAGGAATCTGGAAATGTGCCTGTCCTTTGGTACCCTCAATTCTGCAATACAAATTTTGGATTTAACAGATTAGTACCACAAAGAGACCATAATTAAACAATTTGAAAAGCAAGTCACTTACTTGATGTGAGGGTATTTATGAGGAGAGATGATGTCACTGTTTTTCAGCCAGACAATGTCAGGGAGGGGGTTTCCAATGGCTTTTACTGCCAACTCAACCAAACTTCCTTCCTTAACACTGATATTCTTTAGCTTTTCAATGAACTGGGGTCGGACCAAATTTTCCTTTGCTGTAATATGTAAGCCATGAGTTTACACAATCTCCCACACCACCAAATCTAGACCTAACATAGTTTTTAGAACAAAAACAAATGGTTTACCTTCTACGGTGAGAGTCATAGATGCTGTAGTCTTTCCAGCTCTGTTCTGAGCAACAACTGTCCACTCTCCGGAGTCCTGAGGCATGGCAGGAACCACAATCATTGACTGAGTACCATCCTCCTTTACCACAATCTTGTGGGTGTAGTCATTGACCACTTGTTGTCCTTTGGTAAAGATAATTAAAAACAATAAACGTTTCTGTTCCATTTTCAACAAGCAAGAAATAAATCAAATATGCAAACAAAAAAAACACTCTGATGCATTTTGTTCAGGATTCTTTGACAAACTTCAAATTTTATTTAAAATACAAATCTTTTGTAATGTTAGAAATGTTGTTACTGTCAATTTTGACCAAATGAACACATCCTTGCTCAATAAAAGTATTCATTTCTTTAAAAATATATATTTTTTTTGAACAGTACTGTAGTTTAAAAAAAACACTTACCATTGTGGAACCAGTAAGTGTCGGGCATAGGTCTTCCAACTACTTTTAAGTCAAACCTTGCAGTCTGTCCTTCAGAACACCTGAAGGATGATGGCTTCTGTACAAAGACAGGCTTATATAGCCTCTCCAGTTGACTCTCATCAGTGTCATCAAGTCTACGAGCAGGAGAACGGCTAACAGAGCGAGCAGGGGAACGGCCAGGGGAGTAACTAGTTGAGCGAGCAGACATTGGAGATGTAGACCTAAAACATTAGAAGGGTAAATGTGGACAACATTACATTATATCTAGTCATAACAGCGAATAAAGATGAAGCTTAGTAAGGCAAAGGCAACTCACTGGACTCTCCTCACAGCTTCGGCCTGTGGGTAGTAAGGCTGAGCAGCTGCTGTGGACTCCACATAGAGCTTTCCAGAACTGACAGCATTACCCTTCATATTGCTAGCAAATGCAGTATAGATGCCCTCATCTTCTGGCAAAACCACAGGTAGGCGCAGACTAGCTCTACCATCTTGTAGAACCTCCATCTGATAGCGGCCTCCATGCTTAATGCGCTTACCGTCTTTATACCAGGCAATCTATTTAACACAAATGACGTAAAATTACTTATATATATTGTGCTGTGATGAGAATACCGTTTATCAATAGAATTAGCACCCTTACCTTTGGTGATGGTGTTCCTTCCATCTTGCAATGGAAAGTAACACCCATTCCTTCCAGAATTCTGTAGCTTTTGACTGGAGTGCTAAATGAGGATCCGACAGCCTCATGCTCAGCAACATTCATGACCATCTCCTCACCATCCTCAATCACCAGTTCTCGGTAAGTTATTTTAAGGATGCGGATTTCAATCTCTTGGATTATTTTTCGTTCAATTGCAGATATTTGAAATTCCTGAAAATAACAAAATGTATATATATGAAATCCATATGTAATTTCATTTTATTAAATTACATTTTTAGAGGCATTTCTTAGTAAGCAAACTGAAAGTTCATTTTTTTAAATTTGATTTATGATCTCATTCAAAAATGATTAAAATAACTTTTCCCATATAAATTCATTACCGTCTCTGAGATGAAGGACTGCATCATCTGTGTTTGCTGAGCCATCCTCCTTTGCATCATCTCTTTTTCATATTCGCTTACAACTACAGGGGGCACATCTGCCACTTTGGGCTCCTGCACCACTGTCGTCACTTCCGTTACATATGTCACATCCAGTTTCTTCATATAGACTTCAAACTCCTCTGTAAAATCATAATGGCATGTTGATTCTTCTGTTCAAAACTTTTTTTTTTTTTTATATGGAAATCACAGTTAATAATTACTTTATTCACAACTAACCTTCTTCAAGAAGGCTCGTGGAAGCAGACACCTCTCCATGTTGGTTCTTGGCAAAGATGGTGTACTCTCCAGCATCATCAGCAAATGTCATAGAAATTTCCAACTTACATGCCCCTGTATCCTTGTTATAGCTAACTCTATATCTGTTCAATTACAAGGAAAGTATTAGCTTTCTGTTTTACTGTGTAGAGACCAACCAGATTCAAACTGTACTGAAAATCTATACCTGTATCCAGTAGTGAGTGGAACTCCACTCTTCTTCCAGTAAATATGGGGCTTAGGGCTTCCTCCGATCTGGCACTCAAAGACAACACTGCCCCCCTCGACCAGCTTCTGAACCACTGGCTTCTTCACAAAGAAAGGAGCAGCAGGTGCTCCAGTTTCCACAGAGACCGCACTTATTTCAGAAATGGTCTCCTCTTTGGCTTCAATGACAGTCCTTGTTTAAAACACACACACAAAATAATTACAACAATTATTAAAGTATGTTATCCATCAGTTCTACTTTTTTTACTAGTTAAGGTGCAAGAGTCCTTGCTCTTGCCATTGTAACTTACTGTTTCTCCTGGACAGTAATGTCCTCTCTGCTCTCAATCTCCTCAGACACTGTAAAAAAAGATAAGATAAATGGTTTTTGTTGTTGTTGCTGTTTTTTAAAAAATGGTTAAGGTATGGAGGGATATCCTGCATTTTTTGTTTGTTTATTCTCTTTTATTATAAGATTTTAATAGTATGCAAAATATAGAAAACTAATAGCACACTATGTGATCTAAACCCCAACATCCTCCCAGTCCCATTTTACCAAAATCCTACCCCTTTACCTAGGTCAGTTCTATGAAAAGTAAGTAAATAAATAACTACATAAATAAACATACAATAAATTATCCCGTGTTTTATGCTTTTTGTGCTTCTTTCAACTTTCAATTTCAACTTTGGGTTCAAAAGAAATGCAGATGGGTTTGCAATATTGTGAACTGAATCTTATTTGTGGTTTTGTTTTAAAACATTTTGGAACATATTTTATAGCTTTATTACATACATACACTTAAAATAAGCAGTGCCACAAAATAAATTTAATTAGAATTAAAAATAAAATAATTTCAAGGTTTACCTTTGACAAGCAGGTAGCATGAGGTGCTGATAGTTCCAGCCTCACTGGTTGCAGTGCAAGTGAAGCGGCCACTGTCTTCAGCAAAGGCCTCACGGATCACCAAGCGGGCATAGCTGTTTTCATAAGTGATCTGGAAGTCAATGGAGTGCTCAATTCTGTAATCCTCTCTGAACCACATAATGGCTGGGGTAGGGTGGCCTGAAATCTGGCACTCCAGAGTGATAGACTCTCCCTCTGTGACAGTCACATTCTTCAAACCCTAATGAACAAGACACCAATTTGTATTTAGTGATTCTTTAAGGGATTCTAAAAATCAGAAGTTAATTAAAATGCTAATAAAACACTTACTGCCATCAACGTAGGGGGCACTACAGGCTCTTTGATAGCTGAGGGGATCGCTGCAGTCTCAACAACCTGCAGGAAAAATTCAACATTTACCAAGTGACTCCGGCACACAATTATTTTGTTAGCGAATTGGCACAAATTATATTAAAAAGAAAGAGCTTGTCTGAGTATGAAAAAAAATTTTAATCTGATAAAGATTAGGAGGAGATGATGAGAAGAAATCCTCTGTATATCAGATGAGATCTGTAAGGAAAATGGTTAGGCCTTGAGGAATCTTTCAGTAAGTGATAATCCAACCACACAAGACTCTATATGATGAAGAATAACCAGTGATATTAAGGCAAATGTTAGCTTTACAAGTGGAAAACACGCCAAACTACAAACCTTTGTGTCCCATTCTTCCCCAGCAAATGAAACGCCTATCTTTCTGTGTAACTCGGTTTCAAAATGAGCCTGATATCTCTCTGCAGTGTCTCTAAAAGGAGGAGGAGTCGGCTCTGGGGTCACACGAGTCTCCACAATCTTATGTGTTGGAGGCTTGACAGGCTTGATGATCTTTTGAGCTGCAGTTGTTGAGGATAACCCTTTTTGTAGTGTGGCAATAGCAGAACCTGCTATTGAAACCTGACCAACCCAAGAAGAGCAACATTACCACAGAATACCACAAAAACGATCACTTTTGTTTAGCCACACAGAGGGGAAGAGTCACGGAACCTTTTTTAGAAGGATGGTAGGAAAAATTAATTTGTTAGGAATTTCAGATAACTCATACTTGATGGATTAATAACTTCATGGTTTAATAAGAGGTTGATGGACAAACTAATGGACGGAAATTATGGTGAGAGTTATTATGAAGCTTAAATGTGAGGTATTGAGGGTGGTTTTTTTTGTTTATATTGGTCTGTATAGGTGGCACTTGTTAAAGGATAGTGCTAAAATGTTAAAATAAAATCTAAAACATAAAGTGACACCAAAAATTCTGAGACCACTAGTGAAAATGCACATATTTTGCATTGCATATAATTAAATACAAAACTTAAATGTACTTTAATTTTCAAAAGTACTTGGTATGTCCCCCTTTTGCTATAATGACAGCAGCAGTCAGCTGCATGAACTCCAAAAGTATGAAAAGCACAATAGCACAAATGGCATAAATTTTGCTTATTTGACAAATTTACATAACAGTGAAAAATATTCAAAAATCCTCAAACTTTGATAAAATTACTAATATCCCAAATTTTCATAGTGGTCTCAGACTTTTGGAACCGACTGTGCATAAATCTACTGTTGAATTCTAAAAACCGTGTTTCAGGCAAGCAGGATTTCAAGATATTTTAATTCGAAATTTAAATTGAATGAAAAACAAATTTCAGATTTATTTCATATGGTTTATGCAAATTTGTTTATGTTCTATCAGTTTTCTCTCTCATTACCCTCTTTCCTACATATCTAAAAATTCATGTAACTTAGAGAAGGGGGATTTCACTGCTTGCCTGTAATCACCAAATCTTACCTCATAGCTATGATCTGGTTTTGGTACAGTAACTTTTGATACTGTGAAATGTGGAACTGGGGATGGTGCAAGGTCAGTCTCCACCTTGGAGCTAACCTCAGTAGTTCTTTGAATCTATTACAAATCAACAGAGGATATTTGAATTCAAATACTCTAAAAAAAATAAATAAAATCATTTTCACGTTTCAGGTTCTGTTAAATGCTTCTAACCTGGGTGACATGTACACTCTTCTCGGTAGTAGAAGTTGGCATTTCAGTGGGAATTAGCAACAGCTCCTTTTTACTTGTGACCTGTTGCTTAGTTGCTAGCATTTCCTGATGTCTTATGTCAGCCTCTTCTTCCAACTGAGCCCCTTCAGCATGCGTGGGCTTTCGTATACGTGCATGATCAACAGCAGCAAGCACAGTGGCCACGGCTTCTGCTTTTTTCCCATCACCCTGGCAAGAGCAATCACTGATCAATATCTAGAACACATGTATAGGCAGAAACTATTCTCATCTAAAAATACACAGCTTGAATATACTGAAAACAAAAGCGTGGGACGAAAGCTGGAAAATACACCATCCAGTGGAGTTGTCTACTAAATGTTAGCGTTGAAAAGTGTTGAAAAAGAGATCCATCGATTCAAGGGTAACGTTTACATAGATTGCATTTAAAATCCACCCAAAGAATAACATTTATATTCCTCTAACTCTATTTTTAGATGCTTTTTATGCATTAAAAAAAAGTCCACTGCTTTAAAAAGATTTAGAAAAGACAAAGCTTTGTCTTCATAATCATTTTTGTTGTCGTCGTTGCCAATGTTAAAGTCAATAGGATCAATCAATCAACCTATCCATGACTTCAAATGCAACCTTTCAAATGTTGCCCTTAAACATAAAAAATAAAAGGTGCTCCCTGAAAGACAAAGTGAAGTGAATGAAAAACAGGATAGAAGGCATTAGAAGTGTGGCCAACTGAAATATTATTCTCCTAGATTCTACCTCTGCAGTTGATGAGATCTCTTCCAAGGATCTCTCACTAGTGGCTGAAACATCAATATTGATTTTATGAGTTGTTACAGTTGTGAAGGATTCCTCTTGGATTTCCTTGCATGATATCTATGAACATGTGGAAAGAAATATCTAAATTGTTGTCTAAATGCACAAAAAATAGTTGACATTTGGATAGGTAGGTAAGGATGAAGTAATGGCTTGAAAAAAATGAGCTAGTAAAATCTGTTATTGTCATCCTATAAAAAATCTTTGTGGAGTCAGTGGGAAAAAATGGGAGAATGAGATTTAGATGGGTGACAACCACAGCACTATCAAACTACCTGCTCATTTTGAGACGTAATGTGTACTGCAGTTATGCCAGTTTCAACACTTGGCTGTTCTAGAGAGCAACTGAGCGGCCCACGACTACGAGCCTGGTCCACTGCCGCCACCACAGTGGCAACAGCAATACTTTTCTCATCCATGTTTTGCTGCTCCTTTTTTACATGCAAGTAGAATTGCAATTGCAAGATATCGTTAGAGTACATTACAAGCATTTTCACTGATAAAATAAACATTTACATGAGATAAACACTTGCGGAAAAGGAAGTGGTGGCACCACTGAATAAGTCGTTTGTAACATGCAGAAACATTGAAAGCAAGTTTGCCTAATGGGAAATTCTTTACCTCTTTGACAGTACCAACTTGTTGCTGAACAGCAACAGAGCCTTCCCAACGCTGTTCCATTTGTACATGGGTAGAGGTTGTCTGGACTTGTTTTGCTCCAGCAATCATGCGGGTATAGCTGGCTTCTGAAACATACCCCGCCTGTTTCCACGGGGGCAGAACCTCAGAGGCCTGCGTGACCTGTTTGCGGGTCATCACAGGGGATTTGACTGGTCTGATTGGGGAAACAGACAGTCTGGTTGATGGAGACACAGCTCTGAAATGAAATGGAAAAACATGTTATGAGAAGATAAAATCGCAAACCGTAGCCTTAGCATTAATGAGTGTTGGGTAATTGATATACAACTTATTCCCATTTAAAAGCATTCAGGAAAAAAACACAAAATTTTATATGATTATTTACAATTGACAATTGTTAAACGTGAAAGGGATAATTCACCCAAAAATTCTGTCATTAATTACTCACCCTCATGTCATTCCAAACCCGTAAGACCTTCGTTCATCTTCGGAACACAAATGTAGATATTTTTGATGAAATCAGAGAGCTTTCTGACCCTGTATTGACAGCCATGTTACCATGTTACCACATTACCATGTTCAAGGCCCAGAGACGTAGTAACCACATCATTAAAATAGTCAATGTGACATCAGCGGTTCAAGTAATTTTATGAAGCTACGAGAATACTTTTTGTGCGCAAAGAAAACAAAAATAACGACTTTATTCAACGATTTCTTTTCTTCCGGGTTAGTCTCTGCCGCCATTCACGAGATTACCATGACGCATACGTGAGCATTACTCTCTGCTCGTAAACAAGGCACAGCGCATGCGTGTTCTACGTCAGAACGCCGGCTCCTGCGTCAGCAGTACCACACCACACAAACTTTACACAAAATTTACCCTGTCAAGGAGTTGCTTGAACGTTTCAATCTGAATATTGAAAACTTATGTGAATTTTGTAGCAATGCCAAAGAATCTGTGACTCGTCTTTTTTGATTGTATATATTAAAAAATGTTTGAATTTCATTTCTAGGTTGTTTGGAACATGTATACAAATTGATCTGTATGATGTCGTTTTTTATTTTTTTGTACAGGACAATGTTGATTCCAAAAGTACGATGTGCTTCCTTATACAACTTTTTATTTTACTTGGAAAATATCACATTCATGTGAAAAAAATGGATTAAAGCTAAGCCAAGCTAAGCTAAGAAAATGAACTGCAATGTTTTTGGTTTTATGTCAATGTTTTATGATACATTATATATATTATATTTGTGTTAACTGTATAAATTTGCAGTTTAAATAACATTCATGAAAAATGTAATGAAATTAAAACAAATATAAATCATTGTTCAGCAAAAAAAGAATAGAATAAATAAAAGCACAAGTTCTTGGAAAGTATGTATAAGGTGTCAATTATAAGTACTGTGTTAAAGCTTATAATAGCACCAATTGAATCAAACAACATTTCTGAGGAAAAATATTAACTATAAGTAAGCTTACACTTATTCTAAGATAGATCCACTATTGTATGCTGTTGCCGTATGGCAACATATCATAAAGTACCTTAAAAATATATTTTTTTCCACATTTTTTTTTACAGCACTTCAAGTTAAGCCATTCTTAGAAAAGAAAAAGATTCAAATATTTTTTTCTATAGGTCTATCATAATGATCCCAATGTATTTTTCGATGAGTCGCTATGTTAGCAATAATAACGTTAACGTTACCTGCTTGACGAAAAGGGTTGCCAGGTGTTTTACAACAAAACCCTCCCAATTGCTACCCAAAACTTGCCCAAACTAATCGCGTTTCGAGGGGGTACCCCGGTAAAAATCGCGTTCCGGGGCCTAAAATACACGTTATTGGGGTCGCTTCAACCCGCGGACATGAAAAACAACCCCCGGCAACAGTGATAAAGTAGCCCAATTCCACAGGAAAACCACGGACTTGGCAACACTGTGACGGATAGTAATACTTGTTTGAGATTAACAAAATCTGCGCAGAACCGATCACCGGTGATCACCGCGAGATGCATGCCGGTTAGAAAAGTGTCCGAGTTACGTCCGACTTGCTCTGATGTCATGCTGACGTGTGCCAAAAAACTCTCGCGGCTGTATCGGATTGTGCAGTCGAGCGCAGTTGCTCTCCACCGACTGCGCTGATCAAAAGCATGATGGGAAACGACTGACTGACGACACAGCTTAATGCTCATTGGTTCAGACAACCGTGATGCTGCGTTCTCTTCTAAAATGTTTTTTTTTTATTTTTACAGGGAAGAACCGGCCGAAGAACAGCAGAGTCGTGGTAGAAAGTTCGGAGATGGTATTAAAGTAGCTCAGTTTAAATGTATTGTATGAATTGCCCTTTCTATGGAATAAAAAATACTGGGTGTCTATTTACATTTAGTTAAAAGTGACTATAACCATCAGCTGCAGTGGTGCAGATGGATAAGTGCTTGTTGTTGGCTTTTTGACGCCATCGACTCGAGTTCGATCCCATCTTTTGCCAAATTTTTTTTCCTCCTTTTTCAAATCTCGTATTAGCAATGGATTCTATTTACACTAAGTGAAAATAGCAGTATTTTTAGCAATATGCTATTTACACTAAGTGCAAATACCTATTTACACTATGTTAAAATAGCAGGATTTCTACTATCAAGTATACTACTTGTTGCAAATAGTGGCAATTATCTGCACTTCAGTATTGTAGTACATTATAAAACAGTATGCAATAATAACGTATTGAGTGTAAATTATAATTTTAATTATTAAATGGATGCCACCTTACTGGTAACAATAAAGCCCTCCCTACACCTACCCAAACCCTACCCGATACTTTATTTTCAACGTTTTGATTATTTCCTTAATTTTTTATTGAAAATAAATGCCTTTACAATGTGATACGAGATTTGAAAAGGGAGAAAAAAAAAGTTAAAGGCGGGATCGAACCCGGGTCGATCAAAAAGACAACGACACGCGCTTCTCCATCTGCGCCACTGGAGCTGATGGTTTAACGGGATGATAGCGGGATAGAATGGTAAAATACGGGAGAATCCCGGGAAAAATGGGAGGATTGACAGGTATGGTCGAGCGCATATTGCTCTCCACCGACTGCGCTGATCAAAAGCATGATGGGAAACGACTGACTGACTACACAGCTTTATGCTCATTGGTTCAGACAACTGTGATGCTGGGTTCTCTTCTAAAATATTTTATTTTTTATCTGATTTCTAAGGTGGCCGAGAAGTGCAAAGCAAATCACAATTCTGAAAAGAAAATAACAAATTACAAATGCAAATGCAAGTTTAAAAAACAAAATAACAATTCAGAAAGCACAACAACAATTCAGAAAACATTATAACAAGTCAGAAAACACAATGACAAATCCGAAAACAA